CCTACCTGAGGTTGGAGGGTGGGAGGAGGGAGAGGAGCAGAAGAAATAACTATTGGGTAGTAGGCTTAATACCTGGGTAATTAAATGATCTGTACAACAAACCCCCGTGATGTGAGTTTACCCGTATAATAAACCTGCACATGTACTCCTGAACCTAAAATAAGCTTTCATAAAACAATACGTTTCTGTTGTTTTTTTGTTTTGTTTTGTTTTGTTTTGTTTTGTTTTGAGATGGAGTCTCACTCTTTTGCCCAGGCTGGACTGCAGTGGTGTGATCTCAGCTCACTGTGAGCTCCGCCTCTCGGGTTCAGGCCATTCTGCTGCCTCAGCCTCCCAAGTAGCTGGGACTCCAGGCGCCCGCCATCGCGCCTGGCTAATTTTTTGTATTTTTAGTAGAGATGGGGTTTCACCGTGTCAGCCAGGATGGTCTCGATCTCCTAACCTCATGATCTGCCCACCTCGGCCTCCCAAAGTGCTGGGATTACAGGCGTGAGCCACCGCGCCCAGCCTCGTTTCTGTTGTCTTAAGCCCCCAAATTTGTGGTGATTTGTTACAGCAGCCACAGAATACTAATACACCTCTCTCCCTCTAAATCAAACCAGCAAACTACTCTGTGTCTCTACTTCAATTTGTTTATGATGAAATGACATCCTTAAATAAGTCTCTGGACATCCCTATTTTTGACATCGTTGTTAGCTGAGGCCACTGCCCTACAAAGTTCTGCTCTGCTGGCATCACTCCTTGTACATGTTTGGCTAAATGGAGTTTCCAGGAGAGGAGTCAGAATGGGTACTATGATGTATAATTCGCACAGCAACATAAAAACCTCCAAAGGCCTGCTCTCAGCTTTGACTTTAACTCATTTTTCATTCGTGTCACTTCTGAATCCAGTCTCACTTTTAATTCTCCTGTTTACCTTAATTCTTAGCCTCACTTTCATATTGAAATCCCTCTGATATCATTTACATTTCAAAGACTAAAAATGACCACCATTTACTGAAAATATGCTTACCAGATGCAAGAGACCATGCTGGGAGCACTACACATCACACAAAAAATGAGACTATATGGCCAGTGAGTGGAAGAGTGAAGATTCAAAACTAGGTCTGTCTAATTCAAAGACTTGTATTCTTTCACTCTTTCAAGTCTGGGATCCTGGATTGCTTGAAAGCCTTCAAAATCAGAAGTCTTATAAGTATCTCCCCATTTTCTTCCCAGTCAAGAGGAATAACATCATTTGGTCAGGAGAACTAGGAACTAGATTACTGTTTTCTTCTTGTTCTTCTGCAGGGTGGTACTGGGGATCAAATCAGGAGAAGCAGGGAATAACGTGGAAAATGAGCAATGGGAACTTCTTTTCCTTCTTCAAAGCTCCTTAGTCAAGTCCCTTGGATATGAATAGTTAGGTTGTCAGGCCAGGGAGGACTTCACATCTTGGCTTTGATAGCTCCCAAGCAAATGTTCCTGATACAAAGCAATTTGAAATCAGTAACTTAGATCATGCTTTTTCCTGTCTCAGGAAAATTCATCTGGCCATGCTATTGATGATTGCTAAGAACAAGAACCCCGAATTTATTTAAGATGTGTTTATTCACTAAGCATTTCTGTTTATCAACAGTTGTACTTATGTTCACCAGACACAAGCCTGCATGTTCATCAGACATAAACTGTCAAATAGCAACTAAAGGGGAAAAGTTGGTCTCTTTACCCACAGGTGCCTCCATCTCACCTCAGTTCTTTCATAGAGATGATCCAAAGAGTATAAATAGAATAGTGACCAAGGGCTCCATTATGCCACTACCTGACTCCGTGTAAGTTTCCTCACTTCCATTCATTCTTTCATTCAATCAGCTATTTTGGGGCGCCTAAGGTGTTCAAATCCTAGCTCTGCCACATTCTAGCTATGAGAACTTTGTTAAACTAACCTAAGCCTCTGATTTCTTCTGTGTAAACTGGAAATAATAACAGAGCCTCCTCCACAGAATATTTGTCAGAATGAAGTGAGATGATATACATAAAGAGTAAATGTGTATTGTCATGTGCTCTTTGCAGCATATGGTGCCTGGCATGTACTGTCATTTTCATTCAATAATCAATTGTTGGCTTAGCACAGTGGCTCACGCCTGTAATCCCACACTTTGGGAGGCCAAGGCAGGCAGATCACTTGAGGTCAGGAGTTCAAGACCAGCCTAACCAACATGGTGAAATCTCATCTCTACTAAAAATACAAACATTAGCGGGGCATGGTGGCACGCACTTGTAATCCCAGCTACTTGGGACGCTGAAGCATGAGAATTGCTTGAACCCAGGAGGCGGAGGTTGCAGTGAGCCGAGATTGCACCACTGCATTCTAGTCTGGGTGACACAGCAAGACTCTGTCTCAAATAATAATAATGATAATCAATTGTTGAGCACTTACAATGTTCTAAACATGGTGCTACAATTTAGGGCTACCCATCAAAATAAAAGCTTGCCTTCCTTGAGCCAAATATGCAACTTTCATTCTCAAATATAATCCTCAGAATAACTTGCAAGACATGCATTATTTCACATTACATAAATGAAAAAAACTGAGTTCATTGCGGTAAAGCTCAAAGTTACACATCTAGTAAGTAGCAGAGCTGAGACCTGAACACTGATCTATCTGAATCCAAAGCCCAATTACTCTCATCCTGCCACATAGCCTTAGTATTAGCTGGAAGAATAAGACACACATCCCGGCTGGGCTCGGTGGCTCACGACTGTAATCCCAGCACTTTGGGAGGCCAAGGTGGGTGGATGGATCACTTGAGGTCAAGAGTTCGAGACCAGCCTGGCCAACATGGCGAAACCCCATCTCTACTAAAAATGTAAGAATCGGCCCGGTGTGGTAGTGTGGTAGTGCACGCTGTAATCCCAGCTATTTGGGAGGCTGAGCAAGGAGAATCGCTTGAGCCCAGGAGGCGGAGGTTGCAGTAAGCTGAGATCATTCACAACCTAAAGAGGGAAACCATGTACTAAGCAACTCATGACAGTACAACATATACGATAACATTGACTGAGCACTCTATGTATTGGGCATTGTTGTCATTGATCTTGTAACAGTTCTATCAGGTAGATGCTATTATTATCCTCCTTTTTACAAATAGTGATACTGAAGAACAAAGAATTCAAGTTACTTGCCAAAATAGTCCATATACATGACCACTACACCCCAGTGCCACTCTGGAGAGTTTGCAATGTATGAGCAGTGTTCTCTAGGTGTCCTAGGAGTGACAATAACTATGAGTGAGCATCAGAAAAGATTTCCTAAATGAGATGATTTGTGGGCTGGAACCTGTAAGTAAGAAAGCAACAGGTTGGCCCCTCTCTTCCTTTCTCTGCCATCATGGTGTGTGCTTGACTCTGCTTCTTGCCATGTCTTCTCACAAGACTTTCAGGATTAAGTGATTCCTGGCAAAAAAAAAAAAAAAAAAAACAAAAGCAAAATCGTCCCATTCTCCAGTGGATTTGGATGAAAATCGATAATAAAATCAGGTAAAACTCCAAAAGGAGACATTGGAGAAGAACCAAGGTGGGTCTATAAGGAATTGCACATGAAATGGCACATATATTTATGCTGTCTGACGGTCACAATCACATTACCATATCAAGCTGAAAATGTCACCACTATCTGGGGAGTTGAATATTTTTCTTGGGAATATATTTTTACTCTCTGAATCTGTTATGAACGCGTTGGTTGGCTGGCTTCAGTAAAAAATATGTGAGACCTTTCATTTCAAAAAAAAAAGAAAGAAGGCAACAGGTTGAGAGAAAGGGAGATAGATGGGAGAAAGATAAACCAGGTAGAAGAAATAGCACTCAAAGGCACATTGTCTTCACTGTCTAATCTCTCCAATCCTTAACGAACGAAAGAGGCCTTGAGTGGGTCTGGTACTGAAGACTCTCCATTTTATTTCTTCGTGTCCTTCTACCCACCCCTATCTAACATTCATCACAATTCTCATTCGTCTTTCATATGCCACTCCTCTATTTCCACTGCCGGTCTAATTTAAGCTCCTATTAGCTCTCACTTGGACCATTGCAATAGCTTTCTCTGCTTTCACTCTCTGCCCCCCTGTATAATCTAAATACAGTTGAGGCCGGGCGCGGTGGCTCACGCCTGTAATCCCAGAATTTTGGGAGGCCGAGGCGGGCGGATCACCTGAGGTCAGGAGTTCAAGACCAGCCTGGCCAACACGGTGAAACTCCGTCTCTACAAAAGTACAAAAATTAGCCGGGCATGATGGTGGGTGCCTGTAATACCAGCTACTTGGGAGGCTGAGGCACGAGAATCGCTTGAACCTGTGAGAAGAAGTTTGCAGTGAGCCGAGATCGCGCCACTACACTGCAGCCTGGGCGACAGAGAGAAACTCCATCTCGGGGGAAAAAAAAAAAGAAAACTAGCCGGGAGTGGTGACGCCTGTCTGTAATCCAAGCTACTCGTAGGGCTGAAGTAGGAGAATCGCTTGAGCCTGGGAGGCGGAGGTGACAGTGAGAGGAGATCGCGCCACTGCACTCCAGCCTGGGCGACTCGAGTGAGACCCTGTCTCAAAAACAAAACAAAACAAAACAAAAACAAAAACAAAAACCCAAAACCATTTCTTCCCGCAATCCCAGGGCACACACACACTACTATAATCCTGCCTCAGATGCTCATTCCCAGTTACGAAACAGGGTACTGGCGAAATCACTCTGCCTAACAGTCGCCCCGACTGCCGAGGGCAGAGAATTGTGGAGGGGGCGGGAGAGAATTGCTCAGAACTTGGAAAGCGATTGGCTTAACTCTCAGGGTAGAAATAGCGACGCAAAGAGACGACGAAAAAGATGCGTCCGCCATCGCTTCCGCTCCACCCCTGACGTTCGCCTCGACCTTCGATTGGCTGCTCCTCGCACCAGCCACGCCTCAGGGTCGCCCACGTGACCCGATGTCCGCCGTGGGATTGGTTGTTCGGCGAGAGCCACGCTAGGCTGTAAGACCAGAGCGGGCTGGAGAAGCAGAGGAGAGGGACGCGGGAAACATGTTTGACCTGGGACTGAAATCTGGAGAGCTTGGCTACCTTCATCCTCCTCAGGCCAGAACAGGCTTCCTGAGACAGTCCAGGTCGTAGGAGTTTTACGAGTTAAAAAAGCGGGGTGCAGACTCCTGCCTGGGTGTTTGGTTCAAGCCTTGGCTCTGGCCTTACTCTGTCTTCCCGGGAGTTCGTGAGATTTGGACCTTAGATTGTTAGTATTATTTTGAGGGCCTCCTGTGTGTAAGCACTGGTTGTGCGCAGATGGCTGTGCAGAGCGCCATGAGGTAGAGGCTGGGGAAATGAGGGCTTGGAGGTGCTTGAGGTATGGTCTTGACCTACGTGAAATGTTGGAGGTAAGTCGGATTTATAACGTGTTCATGCTTTTATAATCTAGGAGCTTAGGGTTTAGTAGGAACAGTCGCTCATTCCTGTGTACTAGGCACCATTCCGAGTGCAGTGGCTACAAAGGCCAGTAGAATATAGTCCTGGTTCTTTAGGAACTCTGTGATTGGGCAAATGGGAGTGAGGGCGGAAAACGTGAACTGGTGAGTAGTTGGCCTGTGATGCGTGCTGTGGTTGAAGAAAGTGCTGTGAGAGAAGGGGGGATGATTGAAGTAATTAGGGACATTTAACGGAAAGTGATATTTGAGTAAAGCTTATTTCTGTTTTGTTTTTTGTTTTTTTTTGAGACGGGAGTCTCGCTCTGTCTCCCAGGTTGGAGTGCAGTGGCGCGATCTCGGCTCACTGCAACCTCCGCCTCCCAGGTTCAAGCAGTTCTGTACCTCAGCCTTCCAAGTAGCTGGGATTACAGGCGCACACCACCATGCCCGGCTAATTTTTGTATCTTTAGTAGAGATGGGGTTTCACCATGTTGGCCAGGCTGGTCTTGAACTCCTGACCTCGTGATCCACCCGCCTCGGCCTCCCAAAGTGCTGGAATCACAGGCGAAAGCCACCGCGCCCGGTCTTGAGTGAAGTTTAAAAAGTATACTTAGGGTGGGTATTTATCCCTCCATGAAAGCGCCTTTTACTCAGCCAGCACAGAGCCGTCCCTTTGCCCTTCCAGATGCCTGACTGGGACCTTGCTTATGGATGTGTGAGCTTTTAATCTCTGGCTGTCATCTCACCCCCTTCAGCGTAAACTTGGGATGATTACTCTTGACCCGTTTTTTGAGTAATAAGGCAAATCCCACACCTGAGTTGTGGGGAGAAGACAGGTAGAACAGTGCTAGTTTCTCGTTGCTGTTATTTTATGGTAACTATACAGCATTTTAAATTTATATGCTCTGTGTTTAAATATCCCCCTTAAAAAGCTTGAACTATGTAACAGTCTAGATGTGACTATCTTACTCTTTTCCCACAAACTAAGAATCCAAATAAATGTTAAAAATCTTAAAAAACAAGCAAACAAACAAAAAGTATACTTAGGTTTTCTCCCCATCGAAAGGGGTGGAGAAGGCACTCCAGGGACTAGGAAGGCGTACCTGCCCTCATGTGGCTGGAGCACATGGGAGGTTTGCCCAGCTGATGATGGAGCAGATAGGGAGGGATTAGACTTGTAAAGATCTTGAATTACATGGTAGGCTGGCTGTCTGGATCTTAAGATACAAAGTGAAATAGGTACCAGAAAACAGATATTAACGTGCTTTCATAATTCAGAAGGAGGACAGGTACCTCCTGTTGGATTGATGAAAAAAGGCTTCATGCAAAAGATGGCATTTTGGAGGGTTGCAAACTGCAGGGATAGGATTTTGAAGTATAGAAAGGATTTCTACAGAGGGGAAAAGACTTTGTAGATGGAGGGCATAAGGTCAAATAGAGCCAATATGAGGACTAAGGAAAATCTGGGTTGATTAGACTGTAAGATGTGTTTGAAGGCCAGGTGCGGTGGCTCATGCCTGTAATCCCAGCACCTGGGAGGCCAAGGTAGGTGGATCACTTGAGGTCAGGTAAGACCAGCCTGGCCAACATGGCGAAACCCCGTCTCTACTAAAAATCCAAAAATTAGTTGGGCATGGTGGCTTATGCCTGTTATTCCAGCTACTTTGGAAGCTGAGGCAGGAGAATCGCTTGAACCCAGGAGGCTGAGGTTGCAGTGAACCGAGATTGCACCACTGCACTCCAGCCTGGGTGACAGAGCGAGACTCTATCTCAGAAAAACAAACAAACAAAAGACATGTTTGCTTTATTTATGGTGTATTTAAGGATAAATTTGGGTCTGTTTTGAAACATCTTGATTGCTAAACAAAGTCGTGGGACTTTATTTCCTAGACTATGGGGAGCAATTGAATGCTTGTGAGTAGTGAGTAATGACTTAATCATACCTCCATATATAAGGGTTAGTATGTTTGTAAGATTCAAAGTACATTGGATGGGAGAGAAACTGGAGGCAGGAGGCCCATTGAGATAGCAGTATTGTCTGCCAAAAGGAACGTGGGTTTTAGAGTCAAGCACTCATTGGTTCAGAGCTTGACTTTGCTCACAAGTTTCATTATTTCTGGCAGATTTATTTAAATTATTAAGCTCTCTCAGCCTCTGTTTTCTTATTTCTTTTTTTTTTTTTTTTTTTTTGAGACAGGGTCTCGCTCTTGTCCCAGGCTGGAGTGCAGTGGTGCAATCTCAGCTCACTGCAACCTCCGCCTCCCAGGTTCAAGCTATTGTCCTGCCTCAGCCTCCTGAGTAGCTGGCATTACAGGCACCTGCTAACTTTTGTACTTTTAGTAGAGACAGGTTTCACCATGTTGGCCAGGCTGGTCTCGAACTCCTGACCTCAGGTGATTCACCCGCCTTGGCCTCCCAAAGTGCTGGGATTACAGGCATGAGCCACCGCGCCCAGTCTCTTATTTCTAATGTGTACTCATTTCACCTGTAGATGATAAGTTAAAAGGTCAAGCATAACCCTTGTGTAACAGGCACTTCGTAAGTTACTTTCCCTCTTTTGAGACAGAGATTCAGTCTGTCGCCCAGGCTGGAATGCAGTGGTACAGTCTCGACTCAGTGCAACCTCTGCCTCCCTGGTTCAAGTGATTCTTGTGCCTCAGCCTCCCAAGTAGCTGAGATTACAGGCGTCCCCCACCATGCCCAGCTAATTTTTGTATTTTTAATAGAGATGGGGTTTCGCCACATTGACCAGGCTGGTCTGGAACTCCTGGCCTCAGGTGACCTGCCTGCCTCAGCCTCCCAAAGTGCTGGGATTACAGGTGCGAACCACTGTGCCCAACCTAGTTTTTCCTCTTTATGGAGCTTAGTTACTGAATGGTGAACACAGACCAACAGCTGTCAGTTTTAACTAGGGAATATCAGTCTATGGATGTTGAGAGATGGCTGAAGGCAGTATATGGTGGCCCCAGAATTTTTAGATACTGACAATATCATTTTGAAAGTCTGGAGAGGCCAGGTGGGATGGCTCACGCTTGTAATCCCAGCACTTTGGGATGCTGAGGTGGGCAGATCACTTGAGGTGAGGAGTTCAAGACCAGCCTGGCCAACATGGCAAAACCCCGTTTCTACTGAAAATACAAAAATTAGCTAGGCCTGGTTGTGCATGCCTGTAATCCCAGCTACCTGGGAGGCTGAAGTAGGACTGCTTGAACCTGGGAGGCAGAGGCAAAAGTGAGCTGAGATAGCACCACTGCACTCCAGCCTGGGTGACAAAGTGAGAATCCGTCTCAAAAAATAAAATAAAGAGGCCGGGCGCGGTGGCTCACGCTCATAATTCCAGCACTTTGGGAGGCTGAGGCAGGCAGATCACGAGGTCAGGAGTTCAAGACCAGCCTGGCCAATAGGGTGAAAGCCCATCTCTACTTAAAAAATACAAAATTTAGCTAGGCATGGTGGTGCTCACCTACTGAGCACCTACTGGCGCTCAGCTACTCGGGAGGCTGAGGCAGGAGAATCACTTGAACCCAGGAGGCAGAGGTTGCAGTGAGCCAAGATTGCACCACTGCACTCTAGCCTGGGCGACAGAGTGAGGGAGTGGAGTGGAGAGTGGAGTGGAGTGGAGTGGAGGTCAGCTTTTTCATTCACAAATTGATTTTTCAGATTGTGAATTACCCATGCTTCACCTTGCTTTCTTTATCTTCCATGTCCTTCCTCATTAGTAAATCTAAAGGTAGAACCCTAAAGAGAAATGAAATTGAACCTTTTATTTAGTTGTTACTGAAAAACTATAAATCTGGTAATCATACCTCAAGTTCTCTTTCTAGCTCTGCAGTTAATTTCCTATGGATCTTTGGCAAATCATAGCCTCTCTGGGTTCTTCGACTCCTCAGATAGAAGATTCTGGTTTAGCCGGGCACGGTGGCTCACGCCTGTAATCCCAGCACTTTGGGAGGTCAAGGCGGGCGGATCACGAGGTCAGGAGATCGAGACCATCCTGGCTAACACAGTGAAACCCCGTCTCCACTAAAATTACAAAAAAAATTAGCCGGGCGTGATGGTGGGTGCCAGTAGTCCCAGCTACTCGGGAGGCTGAGGCAGGAGAATGGCGTGAACCCGGGAGGTGGAGCTTGCAGTGAGCCGAGATCGGGCCATTGCACTTCAGTCTGGTAGACAGAGTGAGACTCCATCTCGGGAAAAACAAAAAAAAAGAAGATTCTGGTTTAAAAACTTTTATGACTGTAATTTTAATCTTTGTTGGCAGAAGAATTATAAATCAAATTGCATATTAAATGAACTGGAATTTATAAAGAAATTTAGTAGAAAATCTTTTCTAGGCCGGGTGTAGTGGCTCATGCCTGTAATTCCAGCACTTTGGGAGGCCGAGGCTGGTGGATCACTTGAGGTCAGGAGTTCAAGACCAGCCTGGCCAACATGGTGAAACCCCATCTCTACTAAAAATACAAAAATTAGCTGGGCGTAGTGGCACATGCCTGTAGTCCCTGCTATTCAGGAGGCTGAGGCAGGAGAATTGCTTGAGCCCAGGAGGCAGAGGCTGCAGTGAGCCAAGATTGTGCCACTGCACTCCAGCCTGGGAAACAGTGAGACTCCGTCTCAAAAAAAAAAAAAAAAAATTTTCTAGGCCAGGTACAGTGGCTTACACCTGTAATCTAGCATTTTGGAAGGTCAAAGAGGGAGGATCACTTAAGCCCAGCAGTTTGAGACCAGCCTGGGCAACATAGCAAGACCCTGTCTCTACAAACATTTTTTTTTAATTACCTGGGTGTGGTGGTGCTCACCTAAGATGTCAGCTACTCAGAAGGCTGGGGTGGGAGGATAGCTTGAGCCCAAGCAGTTTGAGGCCACAGTGAGCCATGATCATGCCACTGCACTCCAGGTTAGGTGACAGGGCAAGACCCTGTCTCTACAAAAAGGACATAAATTTTAAAAAAAGAAAAGAAAATATATTTTCTAAAGCTTTTGCTTTTGAACTAGGCTAAGGGTAGGCTTATAGGCTCAAGCCTGTGATCCCAGGGTTTTGGGAGGCCAAGGCGGGAGGATCACTTGAAGCCAGGAGTTTGAAAGCAGCCTGGGAAACATACCAAGACCCTGTCTCTACAAAAAATTGAAAAATCGCCAGGGGTGGTGACATGCACCTGTAATCCTAGCCACCTGGGAGGATCGCCTGAGCCCAGGAGTTTGAGACTACAGTGAGCCATGATCACACCACTGCACTCCAGCCTGGTTGACAGAGTGAAACCTTGTCTCAAAATAAAAAATAAAAATAAATATTAATTGAAAACAGGTCAGGCATGGTGGCTCACACCTGTAATCCAAGCACTTTGGGAGGCTGAAGAGGGTGGATTGCTTGAGTCCAGGAGTTTGAGAACAGCCTGGCCAACACGGTAAAACCCTGTCTCTACAAAAAGTACAAAAATTAGCCACGTGTGGTGGCCTGTGACTGTAGGCCCGGCTACTTGGGAGGCTAAGGTGGGATGATCACCTGAGCCTGGGGAGATTGAGACTGCAGTGAGCCATGATCAGGCCATTGCACTCCAGCCTGGGTGACAGAGTAAGACCCTGTCTTTAAAAAAAAAAAAGAAAAAAGAAAAGAAATATTAATTAGAAACCCATGGTTGAAACTTACCTGAATAGAAGGCTTTATTTTTCTCATAGGTAAGCCTGTGTTTTCTTGGATGTGAAACTAGGGCAGTGGGTTGCTCTTAGGTAATACAAGATGAAATGCAGCGATGCGATGATGAGTGAAGTAGTCTGACCTGGTATTGCCATTGCTTCAATGTTGGCTTTGACCAGGGTATGATCTCTTAATCTTCTCTCTGAGCTGATTCTGGTTGTGGTTTTTCCACACAGGTGTGTTGTATCCTGTTTGGACACTGGTTTTATCATGTTTAAGATGTTTCTTTTATGTTCGTTTGAATTACTGATACTCATGTTTTCCTTCTTAGGTTGAGATGAAAAATCTTGCTTTGAATTCTTCACGGAGGACTACATCATTTCAATCTTGAATCTGGCTCAATTCTATTATTCACTTATTACTGTATTTAAAACATTTAATTGGCTGGGCACGGTGGCTCATGCCTGTAATCCCAGCACTTTGGGAGGCCAAGGCGGGCGGATCACTTGAGGTCAGGAGTTCCACCAGCCGGGCCAACATGGCAAAACCCTGCCTCTACTAAAAATACAAAAATCATCTGGGTGTGGTGGCGCACACCTGTAATCACAGCTACTTGGGAGACTGAGGTGAGAGAATTGTTTGAAACCAGGAGGTGGAGGTTGCAGTGAGCTGAGATCACGCCACTGCACTCAAGCCATGGCAACAGAGTGAGACTCTGTCTCAGTAAAAAAATAAAAAAAAAAAAATGTTTAATTAACCATGATATTTGCTTTAGTAAAAATTTTGAGGTTTAACGAGAATTTTAAAATCCATTACACTTTTCTTATGGCATATAAAAGTTTAAATTTTTTTTTATTGTCTCAGCTAACATCATAAATGCCTTAATGTTAAAATCCATGGGATATTCTATTTAAAGTTTTAGCTTTATCACCTCTGTGCTATCAGAGAATGTGCTTTGAATTGGTAAAATGAGTTAAAGTATTGGAAAACACCTATGTCAGCAGAGGCTCTCAAAAATCATTTTCATCCTTCCTCTTCTAGTGATGATTTTTTTTTTAAACCATGTTTTCACCAGCCTGCCAATCCAATGGCATAAATGCTCCTACATAGGCAACTTAAGTGTTTAAGTTGATGCAAGGTATTTCGCATGAGGCTGAATTCTTATTGTTGGAGCAGAGGATTTTTGTTCCAACAACTGAATTGGCAAAACGTCAATATAAAAACACCTCAAAAAGTCAACAGTAGTCTGAATGAAAAATTTATTTTAAACACCTCAAGTAATCTTTACATTTCTACAAAATCATAACAACATGGAAGTTCTTTTCCAGAAACATTTATTCTTAAAATCTACTTAAGTGTTTCATAGAAACTTTAGTAATAACCAGAATAATTCATGACAGTTTAGCAAACTCTTAGCAGCAAGCAGAAAGAACTTATTAAAATATCCTTTCTTTACACAGTTAGATTAGTATTTTGCTTCACATCTTCATTGCTTGTTAGCTTTGCTTTTATACAGGAATCTTCAGACTAGTCTCTTTGTAACACTCAACCCCTATTCCTTTTTTAACCAGTTTCTCAAGAAAGATATGGAGAGCTCATACAGGAATATCCTTAAATATCCTAAATATCCAACTTTTAAGATATCCTTTTTTATCCTTAAAAGCTGATAAACTATAGATGTCACTTAACAAATGGGTCACAGTATATGGAAGGAGCTTTTCCCCCCCCCAAAGTGTTTCTAAGCATTTCTATCAAGAGCAGGTCTACATTTCTTATCGTTTGCAAACTGATGAAATTTCCACCTTACAGACAGGCAAGTAAATGCTTTCTTTTCTAAAAAGGCTTGCTAACAACTCACTGTTCACTTTATTTTTTATGTAGTCTAACCTGGGTTTTTCCCAAGAGCTTCTGTACTTCTTACATTTTAAGGAAAGGGATAGACAAAAACTTGTGTACTCATTATTCTGTTTAATCTCTACACTGGCCCTCATATGCCCTGCCAGTCCTGATTCTTCTAATTTAAGCAGTTTGGTCAACTGTAAGTAGGGTTCTGGAGAGCAGGCTAAAAGGTTAGGATCAAATGGACATATCCTTTTAAAGAAATCCATATAGTCATTTAAAGTTCATATAGTTATGAATTGAGGCTGAGAAGTGTCAACTCAGTACCATACTGAAACCAGCTCTGTGGCATTTTAGCGCAATACTTTTGTTGTGAGGATAAGACACAATTCCTTTTCAGTTCTCGGGGGAGTAGAGTTTAATCAGATGTTGTACTTCTGTTGGATAACCTGTGATGGGACAAGCTTGGTGACTCCTCACATAATGAAACACACAGCGGTAACAAAACACATAGCCAGAGGTGGCAAGAACAGTATCATTCACCCGGGTTTTACGACACAGTGGGCACACAGTCTTCATTTTGGGTAAGAGGGGAGAATCAGAGTTATAGTCTAGGTGTACAGGTGGTGGTGGAGTAGGCAGGGCAGTCAATGACTTGATGGTTTCTTGATTTTCAGATGAATACCACCAGTCAAGGAACTGCAAGAAGAATACACCCACAGAAAGGCCAGTAGACAGGGATAAGGCAACACCCCCCACAGCTTTCTTCAGAGCTGACTTTATCTTCTCACTAACACTGTTGGGAGAAAAGAACAAGGAGGCAAAGAGAGAAACTTTATTTAGGTATAATAACAAAGTGACAAACATAAATGCAGTTCTTACATTTTTCATCAGAATCACTGGGACTGAATGGTTGGTAGACTAGCTCCTTAAGGATCTATTCTAAATGATTCTTTCTAACTTACAGTATTTTAGGGGCACAGGAGCTAAGCTTTATTTTTAGTAACAAATGATTAGGGTTTGGTTTTGTGTTTTGAAAGAGAAATCAGTAGAGAATTTGATTATATAAATCTCCTCCCTTTTTTTAGTGGAAGATAGTGATCCAGAAAAAAAAAAATTCACTTAACAGAAAACTTAGCAGTATTGAGGAATGTATATATTTGAACTTGTAGGAGAACATAAATATGAACTAGAAGGAGCACAACAACAATATGATTAAGAGCACAGTCTTAGGCTGGGTGCAGTGGCTCACAGAGCACAGTCTTTAGAATTGTATTGATTTGGCTTGAATCCCAGCTCTGCCACCTTCTAGCTATGTAGCTACATGACCTTGGCAAGGTACTTAACTGCTTGGGTTTAGTTTCCTCAACTGTGAGCTAATACATTTACTTCATTGGGTTGTGTTCAGGATTAAGATAATGTACGTAAAGAAAGCACCTAGCACAGAACCTGGGACATAGCAAGTATGCACTAAAGTATACCTAGTATGATAAAGGTTACCAGGATGACAGTCCTTATTTTATGGACACAAGGAATAGCTTTTCTGTGATTTTATGCAATACCACAAAGTTAACAGGTGAATTTCACAAAACTGGGATAAGATTTTAGAATTTACTAACTAAAGATCTTTTGGAAATGTTAAGGCCTTACCTCCTGGCTGGCTGCTGCATCATGCTGGCCTTAGCTGGTTTGTGCTCCAGAGCTTGTATATCCTGAACTGTCAGTCGACCTAGCCGAACTCCAGCCAGCCTCAGCAGTGGTGAGTGATGCTGAGCTTTTCCTAGGATGTATCGAAGTTGTTGTACAAGAAACCATCCTTCCCAGGCCATATTCACAAATGGGTAGGCTGCCAGGAAGGCTCTGTAAAATCGTTTCCAGCGGGAAGAAGGGGGATGAATAGAATATTCATCCTCTTCTCTCAGGCTAGAAACCAGCTTCTCCAGCTTCACTTTCAGATAGGGAAGAAGAACCAGGACCATAATTGATTTCCAAAGCTGCTTCTTTGGGAGACCAGCGCTAGCCAGTCTCTGAGACTTGTGAGTGTCCCCCATTACAATTCTCTTTAAGCCATAAAAGTTTTCAGAAAATGAGGCACTGGTTCTAGACAGGTAATGCTGCTGGACCAGAAGATCTAGCAGAGTAAAGATCTCATCAAACCACCTCCACAAGAAGCCATAGTGGGTGGGATTTGATTCTGCAAGAACCTAAAGCAAAATAAAGCAGTAAGTAAAATTCATTCCATTACACAAGTTCTACACCTTCTATTTACATTCCCCCTTTTCCTCTAAAGTCTACACATTTTGTCTTAAGTCACTTTTGGACCCTGAAATGCTGGGTATTCAGTACAGGTCTCTACACATAACAGAGACTCAATAACTCTTAAGTCATGGGATACGAGTTATTTGCAAATTGGCTATTTCAAACGCTAGGCTACCAAATAAGCACAAATTATTCGTTGGTTTTTACCCAGTTGTCCCTAAAGCCTTTCCAAGAATTAATACCTTACCTTGACCACATGCTGAAGAGCGGGTCTCACTGCTGTCATTAAACTGTCCTGTGCTACCACCTCAAAGATGGATGGCTGGTCATCGGCTACAGAAGCAGTTGTGATGTGAGCCCCGTGCTCAGCCATAGCTTCCTGTGTGTACTGGCTTTCACTTTTCCCACAAACACTCTCGTGAGCATGAACTTTTTCGGAAGGAAGGGTATCAGATGCGTGCTCAGTCTTAAAGGTAAACTTTCTGCATAATATCTGAAACTCGAAACTCAATCTTAAGGGCAAAAATGAACTGGGGAAAAAAGACCTGTTGTGGAGGCGGAGGGGAGTCTCAAGAAGGTTAATAACAAAGTTAACTCGGACCTGGGTGGAAGTGGTATGTGCGAGGGGGTAACTTGTCAAATGCTGCACCTCAGGGCAGAGCGTGACTGTGGGGGACGCGATCCTGTCGAGCTGCGAACCAGAAAACCCCCTCCTCTCCAATCGTGAGAGCTCAAAAGCTAGCCGACTCTAAGGATTCAGTCGTGTCACTGTAAGCCCGGGACATGAAGGCTAGCTCCAGCTGTTGGCTTTGAGTATCCCCGCCCGCGCCCGTCCTTGCTTGCTGACCCCACGCGAGGCGCAAAGAACCCTCGACGCCACGTTTGAAGGGAGGTCTCCGCTTTATGACAGAAGCCGCACCCGGAAATAGAAACCGCCAGGACCTCAGGGACGCCTGGCGGAAGAGAGGCACTCTAGTCCCGAATGCGGCCCGGGAACCGGAACTAGAGAACTATGACCCACCCGAACTTCCGCTCCCGCCCCGCTGAAATAAAGAGGGGTCTTGCGGTCTGGTTTTGGCTATGAATATTCAGCTGGTTTGCTTTAGTTTTCGTAGCTGGGTCTGCATGGTAGCCTCGCTGGAAAGCTACAGCTCTGAACCTCTCTCTGCGAGGTCCTTTTGACAAGCTGTTTGGGGCACCGCGCAGACGTCTGGCGCCGGGAACCAGAGCTCGGGCCAGTTGCTGAGCCCTGTGTTCCTCCTGCAGGCGATGGAGCTAGGGGCGGAGGGAGGAAGGGAATCTGGAGGTGGAAAGGACTCTGCTGTACACGCGCGGCAGGGATGGTGGTTAATTTATATGTCTTCGCCTTCCAGAAAGGATTTAAAGCGACAAAGCAGGAGATGGGAGCCTTAGATTTATTGCCGCCAATTATAAGGAAGGATGATTGGATTGAGAAAGGTTCATGCTTGTTCCTCAGTACTTGAGATGGTTAATTTTCATCCAAGCTGGTAGTTTAACGTCTTTCAGGTTTTGGCTATATTCAAGCATAACTCCATGCTCTTGCTATACTGGAAGAAAATGGTCTCCGTCCTTGAACACAGTTGGATATGTCACCACCAGCGATGTGAATACAGTGCTAAAACAGAGGGAGCTTTATGAATTGTA